GGGACGCTGCTGTGGTGATGAGAAGAGGGTGGGAAGAACATCCATCCAGGGTGTCCTGACAAGGATGTCAGACCTGCCATCTGCCTGCAGGCCATTCATTGCTTGGGTCACGGGGCTGGGGAAGAGGGGGTCAGTATTGTCTTTTAAGATGGAGTGTAGAGAGGCAGAAACAGGCTCATCTTTAAAGAAGGGAAGAACCTTCATTGTTACCTGGTTTTTGCTGGGGATTCAGGAGACCTTCGGTGAAGATGACCTTGCTCTAGCAATATGCATGTGTAGATGATTAGCTCTATGATCAGCTCTTGCAACTCTGTCAATGTTCTTTTGGGAACCAGGCCTCAGATCAGTCACCATCTTATTGCGGGCAAAAGGAGTTTTGCTTCCCAAATCTGCAGACAGACTGATAGCATTGCTTTGGACATAAGGCTATGGATGCACTTAGGACTTACTCCTTTACTCTGTCTTAGCAATTGGGAGTGAATCCAGATGCTCTGAATAAGCACGCCCACTCACCACAACCATGACACGGTGGGGAAGTTTCACAAATCTTGGTGTACAAGGAGTTGGTTTTGCTATATTTGACTATGTTGACATGAAGACAGACTTGACAACTGCACTACCAGTTCCAGAAATTACTGTGAAACACAAAAAGGTCCTTCAAAAGTCTCTCCTCCTGTTCTCTCAAGTATAACAATAATTGCAATGCACAAAAGACACACAGGGGTAAAGACAGGCTAGCTCAGACAAATGCAGCGCTCTCTTGACCACCAGGAGATCAAACACCCACAGGCTCTTCAGAAACATGTGCACACTACCAGCAGAGCCTTCCAAAGGGATTATGCTGAGGGAAAGAGCTCAGTCATGGACAAGAGCAACATTTCAAGGATCTTCTGAACACCACACGACACCACAAGACAGCCAACACACCTTCCTCTCCAAAGTCAACAAGAGAACAAAACAAGGAGGGAGGTTAATCCTCTGGATGTGACACTGTTCCAGCAAAAATGCTAACAAGCAAAGCTAAAGAAACAATGGTGTACTACGTCATCCCAAAATAAAGTCATGCAGCAGCATTTCAAAGACCCAGCCTACTTCAACAAAGGAAAAAGGAGACAAGTGTGGCATGAAATTTCACATAGCTTCAGGCCTGGAGACAGCCTACTTGGCATGATGTTCACATTCACAGCACATTCTCTTTCATTCTTCTGCAGCTAACAACAGTCAGTTCCAGAGTAAACCCGGGCTCTGGCAGTGTCTGAGCACATCTGGTTGCAAAAGGAAATCCATCCACACTCCTAAAACCACTCCATAGGCAGATGCTCAGATCACTGTCTGTGGCATTTCAGCCCTGCTGCCATGTCACTGGCATGAAAACAGGGTTTTCAGGATGGCATAATGCTGTTCTGTTTATCTGATGCAGGGATACTTGCTGAGTCCCAAGGATCTCAGTCACAATTTCTTCATGCTGGCCACCACGAAAAGAGATTTAACCTCAACAGTTGTTAAGTCTTTGCAAAAGCCTGTGAGGGCATTAACCTTGAACTGCTGTCTGATGATGACCATAGCCTCAAAGGATGTACACAGGGAGCCAGATATTCCTGAGCCATTGCTCTGGGGGCTTTTATTAACATTTATGAATACTATTGCTATTAATTCTTTATCAGAGGCTCAGACAGCAACAACTCAGAAAGTTTCCAACCAAGGCTGAGTTCTACAGAACACGCCTTCAGCAGCACACAATCAGGAAGCACCTGGTTTGGAATACTCCCCTTAAACCTGAGCAGCTCCAGCTCCTTTTGCCAGAGCAGCTCAAACTTCTGTGATTATAGATCGCAGCCTCCAGGATTCTGAGTCTCAAACTAAAACTCCAGAGCTCCTTGAGTGAGATGGTCAAGGTTTTGCCCACTTGCAAAGCACTTGACCATCATCTCTGTGTGTCTGACCAGCAGACACAAGCAGATTCCTCAGGGATAGCCTTCTTTTTACCTGTAAAAGATTACCCTCTTTACGTGTTTTACATCTTTCCCATCTTGTGCTTTAGTTACTTTGGTGGCTACTAACCCCAGCTTCCTATTTGAGGCTAACCACACGACCATTACCTCTCACAATCCTCCTATTCATTGTCCCCTGCACACCCAAAGGCAGTTTACCTTACTCTTTCTTGCATGCCAGCAGCACCACAGACTAAAATACTCTCCCTTCACTCTCATTTCTCACTACAGTGTCTCTAGAAATGGAGAGAAGCAGTTATCCTAAAAGTCCTGCTCAGCCCCTCTGCCTGCAGGAGAGGCTCGCTCTTGTTTCAAAACAGTAAGACAAACAGGTTCATCACAAACACATTTGAAGGAGGCAGTGGAAAGGGAACCTTGATAGAAAAAGTTCTGAGAGCGCAACAAACATCTGCCAACAGCCACAGAGAGCTTCTGAAGGAGCATCCATACTTGAGCGCCAGATTACAAGGCCAGTGAAAGGCACATTGCTAACAGCAGACAGCCCAAGAAACAAGTACATACTCTGAGTACAGAGCTCCAAGGTAGTGCTGCTTCTGACTGAGATTCCCAGTTAATTTTCTCCATAGTAGCTTGGATGTGGCTATGTTT